ATGAGGGCATTTGCTGCGTTGCATTCCTGATTCGGCAGGGAGGGGGGAGTGAGAGAGAGGGAGGGAGAAAGAAAGAGTGAGAGAGAGAGTGAGAGTGATAGAGAGAGAAAGAGAGAAACAAACAAAGAAAGAGAGATACTGACAGGAACAATCCTCTTCTTGCTCAGCTTCCCGCCTTCCCGCGTGCCTCCTGCCCCTGCCTACTCTACTCCTGCCTTCTCCCTCCGGGACTCCTGGCCCCCAGGCGCCTTCCTCGGATCTCGGGCCCATCGCTTTGAAACCTCTCTCGCGCTGGGGTTCGAGCCGATCCTCCGACCTCGATCCCCTCAATCCTCTTGCTTCAGTTTTCCCCAGTGCCAGTTTCCATCCCCTGCTGCTCACTCTGCCCGCCGATACCCCCCCCCCCCATATCCCACATCCCTTTCTCGGGCTTCGCACCGCCGGCCCTCAGGAGCTCTACAAGGACGAGTGCGCGAGCGAGGCCAGTGACGCCGAGGAGGGTGAGGATCAGAATGGTGACGACGGCAAGGGGAAGGACTCGAAGGTTGCCGAGGGCTCCAAGGGCAAACGCAAGAACGCCGATGCCGAGGAGCCAGCGGCCCCGCCCCCGAAGGTGCCGAAAGAGACCCATTGGTTCACGAAGGCCGACGACATCACTGCAGCTGCGAGGGCAAACGAGCAAGATGTCAACAAGATCACCAAGGACCTCACGACGTCCAAAGCTGAGATGATCGACGCAATCAACACCATCACGGCCGACATCTTCGAACTCACGAAGCTGGAAGCACAACTGGTGAAATCGCGTTTGGTTGCCGTGAAGATCATCACAGCTCCTGCTCAGGGCACTGGCCAGGCGGGTTCTGCTGGCGACAACATCGATCAGGACATACTGGTATATGATAGTCGACAGCAGGCTTGCCAGGCTTGCTGGCCAGCCAAATCCCTTTGCAATTCCCAACGGGTGGGGCCTTTGGGTGCCCACTGCACTCTCCTCGTTGTTACCTTCCTTTCCTGGACTCCTGGCGCCTGGCTTATCGTTGCCCACTCTCCCCATTCTCGCCCGATGACGGCGATGGCGATGGCGATCGGCGATGACGGCGATTCTGATGGTGGCGACGACGGCGACGACGATGGCAGCAACGACGGCGACGGTCTCGACCCCCCCCCCCGTCAGGCCCTCGCGCCTCCGGCAGCAGCACCGCAGACGCCGCAGGCGCCAGCGGCGGCGCCAGCCAGCAGCCCCGCGGCCGAGACGGCGTCGCCCGCTGCCGCCGAGCCTGCCGCCGGCGCTGCGGCAGCGGCAGCGGCAGCGGTCGCTGCTGAGGATCAGGCGGAGGCGGATAAGAAGAAGGTGGAGGGTAAGAAGGAGAGCAATGTGGAGGAGAAGGAGACGGACAATGAGGAGGATAAGAAGGATAAGGACGGTGAGAAGACGGAGGGTAAGGACGAGGAGAAGAAGGGAGAGGACGTGAAGGACGCGTGCAAGGGCGAGGATCCCAAAGTGCCAGAGGGGTCCCCCAAGAGTGGAGCTATTGCATCGCCAGCTGCCAGCGCCGACCTCCAGTCGCCAATTCAATCGCAGGGGCAGGGAGCGCCGCAGCTGGCGATGGGGCCCCGCGTGCTCGGCGCTAGCGCCCAGGCGTGGATGGGTAGGGGGCCAATCGCTTCTCCTCTCCTGGCACCTGGCACTGACGCGCCCTGGGCTGAAGATTCCAGGGGCCCACCTCATACTCCTCTCCCAATGTTCTCTCCTCACTCCTCCCTCCTCCCCCTTCCTCGGCCCCCTCCCTCCCGTTCTCCTGGACTTAGGACGTTGTGCCCTCCTGCCCAGGGGCCCAGGGGGTGGGGCCAGATACTCAGGGTCCTTGAACTTTGGATCGGTTGCCGGGGGGGCTCGGGCCTCGTCGGGCCCCGTCGGGCCGGGCCGTCGGGCTGGGGGCACGAACGGGATGCGAGGCAGGGGTCAGGCAGCATCGCGACGACGATCGCCGAGCGACGAGCGATGAGAACGAGGATGAACCAGGGGCCCAAGTCTAGTCTCGGGGGGAGGCCCGAAGGCCCGAAGGGTGGAGAGAGATCGGGGCGGACGAGGACTAGGTCCGGAGGTCGAAAAACGCAACGGGGGTCGGAGGCCCCCAGGAGGAGCGAGGAGGACTCGGACTCGGCCGAGGGGGAGGAGTCGGAGGAGGAGGAGAAGGGGGATGGGGAGGAGGGGTTTCGGGCCCGCACGAGTCCAATTGCAACGACTCCGCGGTCGCGAAATTCATCTTGTCCTGCAGGGACCCCGCAGTGGCTGTGAGAAAGTACATCGCCACCTTCAGCGGCAACGGCGCCGCGGTGTTTGGCGAGACGCCCCCGAGCCGCACGTTCCGCGACCTCGCCCACATCTCCCACTTCGAGAATCTCGGCAGCAAGTTGCAGACAGCGAGTAACAAGCAGGACCTCAAGAACATCCAGGCCGACCAGAAGGATGCGAAGAAGGCGATCACCGACCTGATTGCCATGTCCGCCTCTGCCACGACGCGCTTGACCAAGGCGATCGTGAGCGCGCGTGATGCCATCAAAAATGGGGCTGCAGCTCAGCCCAAGAAGCGGGGGCGCAAGCCAGGCTGCAGGCCGACAGGGATGGCAGCCGTGGTCAGGCTTATGCAGAACGCCGCTGATGTGTGCACTGCCATGGCCGCTGTGGCCGCCGATGAGGCGCTCTCCGTTCAAGACCAGGTGGACGACGTCAAGCAGTATGTGATATCCCTGAACTTCGAGAAGTTCGAGGAGGTAATAGCGTCAATCATGCCTGCGGCGCAGCACATGGAAAAGAAGTTCCAGAACTCGCCGTCGAGGGTCGACCCTGGCAGGGCCCACAGGAAGTTCGAAGAGCATGTGCTGCAGGAGGGGCGCTTGGCAAGAAATCCCGCGCGCCCGCCCCCCATCCCTAAAACAAAAGAGTCTGGAGGCTGGAGGCCCGAGCCGAGCGGGGGCGGGAAGGCGAGCGGCGAGATGGGGTCCTCCTGATGTCTCCCGCCATCCGCCCTCCGCTCGCTCGCCCAGGCCGCCCAGGCCCAGGCCTGCTCTGCACTGCACCCCTGCTCCTCCTCCTCTCCTCCGGCTGCCCGCCCGCCCGCCCGCCTTCCCCTCCTCAACTCCCCCTCGCCCCCCTCCCTGGTGGTGGTGGGCCTTGGCGGCCTGGGCCTCGGTGGGAGGAGGAGGGGAGGCTGCCGCTGCCCCGGGAGGCTGATGCTTAAAAGATCCGCCGACCCCAGAGGCGTGTGAGGGAGAGTGTGTGCTAGAGCCATTCATCGTGAGGTTCTCCTTTCAAGCAGCCACCGACCGATACCCCCCTCCTGGCTCTCTCCCTTGGAACCTTTGTTCTTGGGCCCCCCCTTCCCCCACCACACCACTTCTCGCCCAAAACCGACCGATACCCCCAACCGCACTCCCCACCACGCCCCCGACCCCCGAACCCACGATGTCTCGCCCAAACACGACCCACGCCCCCCCCCCTCCCCCCACCCGGCCCCCACCTGGCCCCGACACCCTCAAGCCTCTGGGCTCTGTTCTTGGAACCCCCGACCCCGCGATTTCTCGCCCAAAAACGACCAACGTCCCCCCCCCCCTCCACCTGGCCCCGACACCCCCAAGGCTTTGGGCTCTGTTCTTGGGACTCCCCCACCCCACGATTTCTCGCCCAAAAACGACCAACGCCCCCCACCTGGCCCCCACCTGGCCCCGACACCCCCAAGCCTCTGGGCTCTGTTCTTGGGGTCCCCGACCCCACGATTTCTCGCCCAACAACGACCAAGGCCCCGCACCTGGCCCAACCTGGCCCCGACACTCCCAAGCCTCTGGGCTCTGTTCTTCGGAACCCCGACCCCACGAGTTCTCGCTCAAAAACGACCAACGCCACCCCCCCCCCCCTCACCTGGCCCCCACCTGGCCCCGACACTCCCAGGCCTCTGAGCTCTGTTCTTGGGACCCTTGACGCCACGATTTCTCGCCCAATAACGACCAACGCCCCCCACCTGGCCCCCACCTGGCCCCGACACCCCCAAGCCTCTGGGCTCTGTTCTTGGGACCCCCGACCCCACGATTTCTCGCCCAAAAACGACCAACGCCCCCCTCCCCCCCAGGCCTCTGGGCTCTGTTCTTGGGACCCCCAACCCCACGACTTCTCGCTCAAAAACGACCAACGCCCCTCACCTGCCCCCCACCTGGCCCACACCTGGCCACCACCCCCCCACGACATCCCCAGGCCTCTGGGCTGTGTTCTTGGGACCCCCGGGCCCTACGATTTGTCGCACAAAAACGACCCATACCCCCCACCTGGCCCCCACCTGGCCACCACCTCCTCACGACATCCCCAGGCCTCTGGGCTCTGTTCTTGGGACCCCCGACCCTACGTTTTCTCGCGCCAAAAACGACCCATACCCCCAACCTGGCCCAACCTTAGCCACCACCCCCCACGGCATCCCAGGCCTCTTTGGGCCCTGTTCTTGGAACCCGGACCCTACGATATTGTCGCCCGCAAATCAACCCATACCCCCCACCTCGCCCCCACCTGGCCACCACCCCCCCACGACATCCCCAGGCCTCTGGGCTCTGTTCTTGGGACCCCGGACCCTACGATTTGTCGCCCCAAAACAACCCATACCCCCCACGTGGCCCACACCTGGCCACCACCCCCCCCACGACATCCCCAGGCCTCTGGGCTCTGTTCTTCGGACCCTCGACCCTACGATTTCTCTCCCAAAAACGACCCATACTCCCCCCTGGGCCCCCCCACCTCGGCCAGCACCCACCACGATCACCCAGAACCCAGGCCTCAGGGCTCGTTTCTGGGACCCGCGACCCTACGATTTTCTCGCCAAAAACGAAACCAAATCCCCCGCCAACCTGGCCCTTA